AAGAAGAAGAGAGCAATGATTCGCATCAAGAAGATATACATTTTTTGGAATCAGATTTTGTAATTGTTAAATGTACAGGAAAAAAAAGCGAAATACATTATGTGGGAAAAGTTGTTGGGTTAGCAGAGGATTATTTAGAAATAGAATTTCTAAGAAGGAAACATAAAACATTTCAATTTGATTTTCCGCCAGTTCAGGAAAAGCGGACGATTGCAATTGAAGATATTTTTAAAAGATTGCCACTTCCTATACAAAAGCCTGGTACTGCTCGTATCCAAAATATGGTAGAGTTTAAGGCAAGATATTTTCAAAATATTAAAGATTTACGATAAAATATCACGTTAAAATATTTAATATTATGATTTTTTTTTAATAATCACTTATTTTGTTTTATATTACCATTGTAGATACTTTTTTGGTAAAGTGTTGTTTTGAATTAAAATAGTTTTTTGTCTTTTTGGTCTTTATTTGGGTTGTCCCACCTCTCCCCATCACCGGACCCAACTCTCCCTTATAAAAGGGAGATATGGGACAAAATCATTACTTTATAAAAAAATTTATAGAAACATTAGTTGTTTAAAAAAATTAACAAAATGCTGTACATAGTTGGCAATTAAATGAAGGTATACGTACGTATTTTTATTTTATTAAAATAATAAAAATTAATCATTACAAAAATTTAAAACCAAAAAATGTCCCAATTCTCCCACATCTCCCCTATGATTGTTGTACGTGAACAGGAAGGAATCACCTTCTTCAATATTTTGTCCGAGTATAGGATAAATATGCAAAGGATTTTTAATTCATATTCTAAACTTGAAATATCCCATGTCCATCAGCTGCCATAAGCTCGTTCCACTGTGCGGCGTTGTGGACAAACTTCGTTTTCATTCGATATGGCCCTTATATCCACTCTTGTTGCACAAGTGTGTAATGATGAAAAAATAAATTAATAATAAATGTGAGCACGAAGACTGACATCCTTGTAGAATTGATATGCTTTGTCTGAAAAATAAATCAACACCTGAATCTAACAATATTTCTGAGGAAACATGCCGATCGATAAGAAGTTCTTCCACTCGTTCAAGAAAAGCTGTTATGGACACAGACCTAGATGATCTAGAAAACTTTTCTAATCGCCACTTATATGGCGGTACCATCTTTGAATTTAAGCTATGAGACATATTAACCTGCGAAATATCAGTTTTGCACACCATTCAAAAATTGTCCAGCTAGATTACTGGACACGACACTCAAAGCAACTGGTTCAACGACATCTATACCAGGAGGTGAAATTCATCATGGAGATTAATCAACTTAGTATTTCCGTTCTTTTACCTTCCAGTGCTACATCTCCAGCAGTATCCATCTGATCAAACCAAGCGTGTGACAGTTTCTGAGGCTCGTTAACATTAGCACTCTCACTAATTAGCAGAGCGTCTAACTCCGTACCCTTTCTGACAAGAGCAGCATCATCAGCAAACTTAAAAGGATAACTAGGGTACTTAAAACTATCTCCAGCTTTCTTAATACGAAGAGCCATAGAAAGTTGAGATCGCATCTCTTCCTCGGTGCCAACATTGAGACCTCTAAAGCGAAGCTCCCACTCAAGCTCCTCTTTCTCCAAACGGTTAATAAACATTTTTCGAGCCATCTTAATATCAATACTCATAAACTCGATATGAATATAAAAAAAAATAATAAAATTTCAACTATAATACACGATTAATTGACTTTTATTAAATATTCAAAATTCAAATAGTAAATCTTGTAAAAAGGTAGATCTCGTTTATACCTCAAGAATAAGTCTCACATTAAACAAGCGCAAAAATAATGGGCACAAAAAATGTTATAACTTTTGTCCAAACAATTAAATCAATAAACCAAATCGGTACACTATTCAGTTCTTACAACAAATGGTAAATGTATAAACATATACTCAATTCTATCAACATGAAAAGTAACTAAGACTTAAATTCATCATATAGCCAAGGTATTTACTCAAAATATCTTATTTTAAAAACGACAGCCCCACGTTGGGCGCCAAAATGTAACCTACCAAAAGTTCTAAGTAACTTCCAGAGGGGAATTACTTAAAATTAAACTTTAAATATATAAAAAAATAACTTTATCAATAAAATCCTGTCTACTACGGTTACACAAGTTTCGGTTGTTCCGGTGTCAACCTTCGAGCCGTCGACGTCTCTCAGACGGGTGCTAAGTGGTGGATAGCTATTCAAAATTCCGGAAATAGTAGACAAATAAAAGGCGCCAACTGGGTCTATATAGTGACCAAGCTATGTTCCTATTTCTCCACAAACCCAGTAAATGAGAAAAGAAATAAAAGACAAACCTCAACTTATGTTCCTTTATATAAAAAAAAATACTGATTATTCCAATTATTATTAACAATTTTACAAAATTACATTTAAGAAACAAATCTGTTTGCCAATTTACCTTATGGCTTTTGATGAATTCATAAATAAACTAACGTTGCTAAATATGGTAAGAAATTAAAATAGTGTATATGTCATACATATATGTAATATGCATGAACCCAAAAGAAAATAAATTCATCCACAGATGACACGGTCGGTCGTTTGCTTGGTACCAGGCGAAGGACGTTTGCGTAAGATGGTGTGCAAATATATATAATCTTAATTTCTACCTTTTACAATTATAAAATCAAAAATATAAATAATCATGTGCATATCCTCACCTAAATCTAAACATCAACGTTTAATGTCGAAACACAATAACCCTTTAACACCCTCCAAATTGCAAGAAGTTACCTGCTTAACTTATAGTTAACACCAAACTATTTATAAAAGAAATATTAAAGCATGAAATTTTATAATTAAATATAAATTATAAAACAAAATAAAAAGAAAATTTAATAAACACATAAGGACACAGAGGTTATTTACTGAAACTCCCAGATTGGAAGAGGTTATTTACTTAATCTCCGCCTCTTATGGGTCTTATTGCTTAACTTACTGTTAAAGTCTTGTTATTTTTATAAAGAACAAATCTAAAGATTTAAATGTTTAACGTAGCCTCTTAGGCTACATTTGGAAATTGCTACTGACAAAAAAATCGATACCACACCAATCGCGAAAAATCTTCTAAGCGAGTACCGCATATCTCATCTACAAATAAAACGAACGCACCTCGTATAGCTTCCATTACCTGGAACTCGGAACCAGACTGAACGACATACAACACGTGACACTGTCAACTATCGTGTCCCGTCCACTTGACATTTAACGTTAAATATAACTAATCCAACAAAATATTCTGGCAATAACATTGACTAAAAATAATTACTTTGGACAAAAAAAATTTAAAATATTCGGTGTAAATGGCATCGTTAATAATTAATTACCTAAAGGTAATGTTATAATACATAATATATATTATTAGGAGAATCTGACACATTGAAACTAACCAGTTGGGTAAAAACTACAATAAAACGTACAATTTCAGGTACTAAGAACAAAATACTATACTTCTGTCCAGTGATAAGATAAATTAAATAATAATAATGATATCTGCAGGTTAATAAAACATACAGCTAGTTTACGACAAAAATAATGGCTTTAAAAACTTATTAACAATAAATAACGTTTTACCTTTTTTTCGTATGTTTAAACAAGGTGAATCGAATTTTTTCATAGTTATTTGAGCGGCTAAAAATGCACGTTACATCTTTATTGAAACTTTAATTCTAACGGTTTCGGTATTAATCCATTAATCAGGACATCATTAAACATTAACAAGAAGATACGGTTACCAGTTACTAGTAATTAAAATAACTTCATAAATAAACTCTTACTTAGAGACACTCGAAACGAATTAATTACTTGTATTCCGACCCTGTCTCATCTTGGTTCATCCACCTGATATTACTTCTTACTGCAGTGATATTTCTTTTACAACGTAGATTACGTAAACATTTAAATTTTTTATTATCTATTAAGGCACAAAATAGCTCGCAAAAGAATTCGTTCTCTCTTGTTTCTTTATATTCGTGTTTTTCTTTTCGTCGTCCTCGATGAGTAAGTGCAAAGTGCAAAAAGCTTTTAAGCAAAAGAACTTTTCCTTTTTCTTGTTTAATGATTACGCTCTTTGTGGTTTTTTGCTTTTAATAATTGTTATTTTAAGAATTTAAGGCACTGCACTGGTAGAGTTATTATTTATTCTTTTATAGTACTAAATAATATTTTTAATAAAGGAGACAAAAGAGGTTATAACAGTGTGTATCATCAGTGCATGAAATTGTGACTGTTTATGAAACCATTTGCGAAATGCCTTATTTTATGTAACGAGTGAATATTTGCGGGACGAGCAGAGCGAGGTCCCGCAACATGAACGAATTTTCAAAAAATGATCTTTTGAAATACTAAGAATCTTTTCTAAATCTGAAGTTATACGTTGAATAGCTTCTACTTTGTCCGAATATTGAAATGAAGAATACAACTGTGTGTCGTCATCGTAAAGATGGTAATGACAATACTCTAGTGCAAGTGGAAAGTTAAATGTATAAAGAGAGAATCAAAAGGGGCCTAAAATACTTCTCTGCGGAACACCAGATAAAATTTCCAGTAGAGCAGATTTTTTATCATCGACTTGTACAAATTAATTTTAGTCATAATCTAATAACTTTTTTTTAACATTTGAGGCGAGATGTGTGGCGAAAGGACCTCCTTAATAGCAGTTGTAGCATAATTTTTGAGCTGTTTATAGTAAGACCAATGTTGGGGAGACTGTGTTCTCCTGAATTTTCGTAGAGCTTTATCACGAATGTTTTCTAAAAGTTTAATATTGTCTGTAATCCACGGAGCGTATCTAGTAGATATTAAAACACAATTATTAAAAAAAGTAAAAAAAAAAAGATTAATAAAATATATTCATTATTGTGCAGTCTAGAATAAAATCCAAATACTCTAAATAACCGATGCAATAACACTTAAATAAAATAAAAATAGACGCTGACTTACCTCTTCGTAAAATCGAAGTTGGGGTACCGGTTCTTCAGAAAGGTTCTCACAAAAATCCTTAAATAGTAAATATCCTGGAACAAAAAATAATTGTCAGTAAACAATATTTTTATTTTTTTTTATTTGCGATAAATAATTCGCTTTTTAATTAAATATTTAGGGAATTATAAAGAAAGTAGAAAAGTTTTTAATATTCGAAGAGCAATAAGTTCTTACAGTTGGGGAACAGACCTAGATATTTCAAAGTTAAAGACCTAGGTGTTATTTATGACTTAAAGTCAATGATCATATTGACTAAAAGTGGCACTTAATAAATTTCTTACATATATTAAATAGGGACATATTAAAAGTAGATATTTCAAACATTAGTGACTAATAATTAATATTTTTGTTTGTATTATCATCATCATTATTATTATTAAAAACAATTAAAGGCTGAGAATTTTATTCTATGTAGCCTAACAATTTACAATAACTGGTAAATAATAGTAAGTTAAGGCCGCAGTATCACTGTATTTTTCATATAAGAAGCAAGGGTTCACCATTTCCGATTGCATTTAAATCCCTCTAAATGTATTAAAATGAATCTTTTACCAGCTTAAAGTATAATGTTTGGAGAATGAAATCTCCTATTTTTTATTTGTCCTGTTTATACACTGAATTTAAAAAAAAATCATATAAAGTGATTTTAAAACCAGAGCTAAAAAGTAGGAGATTTCATTCTACATATTTTTCCAAGTATCCCGCAAAATATTTCTAAATTTTATTGCGTATTTTTCAAATCTAAGTGGAAATACGATTAACAAATATTTGATAAATTTATTTGTCAAATTAGAAATTTTCTACGAATTCCTGTAATTGTGTAGTTCATCTATTTTTAAGAAAATGTCATCATAAAAACAATGTAGCTACTCTGTTTTAGAGATGGTTTTAATAGGTGAATGATTGTTTAGAGGTACCAATTTTTGAATCAGTAATACAGCTGTATGCCGTCTTTTATTGTTTCGTGATTTTCATATATATTTGTCTCACTTGGTTCCAACTACAAAATTATCGATTTATTTTCCCTGTGTATGAACAAGTGTTGGCCACGTTGCCAGATTATCGATTTATACCATAATTTCACAATTCTTTCTAGGACGAATTTCATTTTAAAGTGGGTTACATATACAATGGTGAAATGCAGGAAAGGGAAGGAACTTTATTGCATTCCGATGTAATTTGAATCCGAATGACCTGGCATCACTGCGGACTTGGCTTTCTTCTTCTGAATGTTATTTTATCTTTATAAGGAATCTTATTTCTAAGTTAACACGTTGACTGCTATGTGTATGTCCCATTAGTGCGTAATTGTTCAATATTTCAATTTGTGTTAAATACACGCAAACATATTTCAAAGAAAAGTTATATGGATTTGAAAAATACATATTTTAAAAATATTTTTGGATATACAGTGTGTTACATTTTTACCTGACATATCTTTAAAATAGAACATGTATTTTATTTCAATTTTAGAATGGTTTGGTAATACTGTATTCAACCCTAGAATAATTTTAAAAAAATATTACAGGTCTGCCAAGCAATAAAATTTTTATGAAATTAGAAAATAATGCAGACCACAAATTAAATTTTAATGTAGGTAGGATTACATTGATTTTATAATTGTTTAATATACTGACTTATAGCACATTAAGATAACGAATAGTAGTGATAGTGCTGGATTCTTTTATAGCGAGTGTTTTGAAACATGTCTTAAATATGGTTACTTTTAAGTTCAAATTACTCAATTTTTTCAAAAGCATCACCCGGTATAATATTTTAGCATACAATTCCTTATAAATTTGCATATCCAACGATACCAACATGTTAGAGAATAACATATATACAGAGTGTCCCATCAGTGCGCAATTGTTTGATAGCAGTTTTATTTTTAGAAATAAGAAAAAAAATTAATATAAAAGTTGTATCATATTTAAAAATTATTCCTCTATATGCAGGGTGGTCCATAAACGAGATGTTGACCAAACCTATACATTTTTAAAGCAAAACACCCTGCAGGTAGTTAACCATATTTAATTGTTTCACGTCGTCAAATAATTTTAATTAATTTCATTCATTTGCTAAGTTATATACAGGGTGTTAAAAAAAAAGTGTCACAAAATGAAATGGTGAATAGTATGACCCAAAATAAGCAGAAAAGTCTTAATAAATATATGACCGCAAATTAACGGTTTCGGAGATACGGACCATTTTGTGTTTATAACAATTTTTTATTATTATAAAAAAACAATGATATTTATAAACAATCAATAACAACATAGAGTTAAATGATAAGAAAAGCAAGTTTTTGAGAATGAAAAAAGATAATCAAAAAATGATACAAAACACAAAACACTCCGTATCTCTGAAACCATTCATTTGCGGACATATGTTTATTAAGACTTTTCTGCATATTTTGGCCCATACTACCCCCCGTTTTATTTTGTGACACTTTTTTTTTAACACCCTGTATAGGATGTGTCAACACGCGAGGTAACAAATTTTTTAATTTTTTTCAATGAAATACCCTGTATTAATTAATTAATGGCATAACATACAGGGTGTTCCATTTAGAAAATTGAGAAAATTGTAACAATTTTGACACACCCTATACAGGGTGTTTCCGAACTTGGCGTCCAAATTTGTAAGGGTGGTAGTTCGCATAATTTGAGAACGATTGGCAGATTTAATTTTTCTTAAAAAATTATAATAAACAAAATAGAGCCATTATACAAAAAATCAATCACAGATGCGATTTACAATTTTGTCTAATTTTAAGCAAACTTACGGAGAACTCGATCGAAACGCACGCGAGTCGAGGCGATCCCCCCGCTGTGTAGGACCGTACCTGTTTAAAATTTTTAATTAATTTTTAATTATTTTTATTTTATATATTTTGGAAAAATAAAATCTGCGAATGGGTCACAAATTATGCGAACTACCACCCCTGCAAATTTGGACGCCAAGTTCGGAAACACCCTGTATACAACATAGCAAATGAATGAAATTTAAATTATTGTTCGACGATGTGAAAACAATCAAATATGTATAACTACCTGCAGGGTGTTTTGCATTAAAAATGTATAGGTTTGGTCAGACAATCGTTTATGAATCACCCTGTATATTTATGAATAATTGTTAAATATGGTCATACAACTTTTATATTAATTTTTTTCGTATTTCCCATTATAAAACTGCTATCGATCAATTACGCACTCATGGGACACCCCGTATATGTGTTATTGACTAACATATTGGTATCGTTGGATATGTAAATTTATAAGGAATTGTAAATAATATACAGAGTGTGGCATTTGAAAAAAATTAAATAAATTTAACTTTGAACTAGCCATATTTAAGACTTCTTTTTCAAAACACTCTGTATAAAATAATACAGTTCTGTCACCAGTATTCGTTAGCTTTATATCTTATTACTACATTTAAAAAAATTGAAATCATTGTAAACCTACCTAAATTATTATAATTTTTGGTCTGCATCATTCTCTAATTTCATAAAAAATTATTTTATTGGCAACCCTGCAATATTTGTTAATAAAATTCTAGGGTTAAATACAGTATTACCAAAGCATTCTAAAACTGAAGTAAAATATAGGATTTTCTATTAAAAAATATACCTTTTTATTTGTCAGACAAAAACGCAAAACCCTGTATGACTAAAAATATCTTTTAAATACCTATTTTTAAAATTCATATAACTTTTATTTAGAATATTGGACAATTACGCACTAATGGGACAACCTGAATATATTATTCACAATATATGCACGCGGCATATGTTTGTAATAATTTATTCCCGCGCCGGGTTTATATATTTTATTCACGCTTCTATTAGATATTGTAGAGTACCTAAGTATTTACTTAAACTACTTTGGCTCAGCAGACCCAACCACAACAATTGCTTCGGCAGTCAACGTGTTTTAAATGCTTTTTTTATTAATTTATTGTTTAATTTGTATTTAGTTATTAATATTTCAAAAATGCTTATTTTTCTTATTGATTAATCTAAAATACACACGTAATATTTATTAATAATTGAAAATAGTACTGTAATTCTGAATTGATAAAAAAAGTGAAAATATGAAAACATAAATTACGACTCTAGAAATGAAGTAAAATTTTATGATTAATTTATTTTTTCTTACAAAAACATTATCTCAGCGCAATATGTCATAAGTTGCATATACACAGTATGTCTATGTAAGTTGACAGCATATAGAAAAAAAGTTATTTTTCATAAAAATTTATACATGGTCTAAAAGAAAATGCAACCATCCGATATCAAATTTTATCAGTCGGTTTTACAAGGTGTGTCAAAAAATATGATTTTGCTTAAGATAAAATACCTTTATTTTCGACAAACCCTGTATACGACTGATAAAATTTGATATCAGAAGATTGAATTTTAGGTTTTAGACCATGCATAACTTTTTATGTAACTTTTTTTCTTAAATTAATAGACCATGCAATTGTTTATGAAAAATAAGTTTTTTCTTAAAATTCTTAAAAAAGTTTTCCGTGTGCCGCAAACTTACATATAAATGAGATAAAATTTTTTGAAAATAATTTTTACTGATGCAGATATAAATAATGTATTGTGGGTAAATAAGGTAATAAAAACACTTTTTTATTACATTTTTCTTTTTCTTATTTGGTTCCTTGACTGTAAGACCTTTTGGTATATACAGGGTATTCCATTAAGAATGGGAGCAACTGAAGATTAAATGATTAGAAATAAGTCGATTAAACAAAACATCCGTAGGTAAAACATTACTCGTTTCCGAAAAACAGGGTTTTAAAGTTGAGAATCAAAAATTATGAATAGCTCCAATTTTTTTATTACTTAGTTTAATTTTACTAAATTCGGAAAACGTTACTGGTATAATAAAATACACGTATCAGCAAAAAATAAGTTAAATAAGCTTTGCCAGTGGCGTACGTCATGAGCAAGTAACATCTCTTTCCCTTCTAAATTTTAATCCACTGTCCAGAAACTCTTGATGTTTTTCAAATAAAG